TACTTCTCCTGTAACCGTGAAGTCTTTCTTATTTTTGTTACTCTATCCTTATGCGTACTTTGACATGAGTGCTTCAGAAGGAGACTCAGTACAATTTCAAACTCTTTACCACCTCCTAAAACGCCACCTATGAGATCAACAGTTTGCATGTGGAAGTGATCCAGCTTCTCAATCTTGAGTTAGGTAAACTCTAAGTGACTCTGTGCCTCCCTTCTGAGATTCTTTTATACTTACAAGGTTTTACAGGTAGAATTATGTCCCCTCAAAATCACGTGCTGAAGTTTTCATCCTCCATGCCTCAGAGTGTGATCTTTGTTGGAAATGGGATTGCTGTAGATGCAATTAGTTATGATGAAATTGTGAGGGTAAATGTAAGCTTGTTCCATGGGAGTCCTTACCAGAAAGGGGAAATTTGAACACAGAAACAGACAGGCATAGAAAGATGATGTGAAGAGATGCAGGGAGAAAACAGCCACGTAGGAGCCAAGAAGATCCCAGTCCCCCAAAGGAGCCAACCCTGCCCACACCTTGATACTGACCTGCTGCCTCCAGAGCCATGGTGCAATGTATTCCAGCTGTCTGTGCTGCCCATTCATGGCACTTTCTACAGTGATCTCTGAAATCTAACTATAACTTTTGAATGGTTGAAGCTTATTGTGATGTCTTGAAGTTCAACACAGGAAGTGTAATCATCTCAGAGAAAAAGAGGAAAATCCAATTTATAAGATTTCATGCGTTCTTTTCTTTTAGGCATACATTTTACTTTTTAGTGTACACTTCATGGTTTCAATTTGCTTCACACAGTAGAAATGTAAATGTTTCCCATAACCCCAAGTTCCAACTCCACAGCTTGATTTTTAAGATCCTTCACAATAACTTAATATAATTTTCTGTACTTCCTTCCTAATGTACCTTTTCATAAGCTCCATGGTCCAGTCAGACTGGAACACCAGTCCCAGAATAGTGCAGGGCACTCCTGCCTTTTCTGTCTTCACCTCTCTGTTTGAAACATTCTTCAACATAGCCTAAAAAAATCCAGTTAAAGTCTTTCTTCAAGACCCAATGGAAAATAACTTTGTTAACCTTGCATTAGTGTGGCAAAATATCTGACATAAACAACTGACAAGAAGCAAAAAAGCTTCTTTTGGCTCATGGTTTCAGGGAGTTCAGTCCATGATTTGCTGGTTCTGTTGCTTTGGCCTGAGGTATGGAAGGGTACGGGGGAGTAAATCTGTACACTGCACCCCATGGCAGCCAGAGGAGAAGGAGGAGGAGGAGGAG